TTATTGAGATGGTCCTGTGATTTTTTTTCCTGGTAAGTATGATGAATTTCTTTACTTTCTAATATTTGCTGAACTTGCAATCTTGGTATATGTTTCACACAATCATGAGGTCATATTCATTATATGTGTTTACTTTGTTAATATTTTGCTAAAGACAACTTCAAAACATTGTTTTTGGAGAGTAATAATCACATTTGTGTTGGATTATTGAATTGGAAATTATTTACCATATACATAAATTTTATGAATAATCTTAAATATTTATTGGCATGTGCTTTCTTTGCTGAATTACCTTTACATGTCCTGAGCAAGTGATTATTTAAAAAGGTTTAATAATTACTTATTACACACATACAATGATTTGGCTAGTAACATTTTCTCTATTTTTAAATAACTGGTGTGATTTTGCGTTTTTGTCTGTGTAAACTTAGTGTGAGTTTATTTTGGGGAGGTGAATCTTCTTTCAGTTCACAAGAACACTGATTTTAGGAGAACTAGTGATGAACTGTGCTTTTCTCAGTATTTCTGTGTTGGTGTACTCTAGATGACATGTCGTTAGATTCTGCATGCGCACATTTTAATGTACATTCTCTATATTCCTTCTTGTGGTTTTCAAATATACCAGTTAATCAAACAAAAAATAAAATTAAGATCATGAGTATTATTGTATATGAATTTATAAAATATCCATTTATCAAGAGAAGACAGAATTTGTTAATCTAATGTAAAACCAGGCTATGGCAGAGGGATGCTCTAGCAATGGCAGAAGGATGCTGTATGTCAGTTGGTTTCTAAATGATCAAATGTAGGTGTTAGAAAGACTTCATTGGTGAGGTGTGAAAGAGGTTGGCATGAGGGAAACATTAACAGTCAAAAGATATAACAGTAGTTTATGTGAGCTGATGAGAAACTAGAGCCTTGAGGCACCAATGGGCTGCAGGAAAACACCACACTGGACATACGTGGTCTTGTGATTTTTTGGAGTGAGGCAGTATGTCATGAAACAGGTGTCAGTTGGCATGTTTTAAGCTTTTGACATCACTGTCTTCCAGCATCTGCAGCTGCAGCTTTACTGAGTCACCATGAAAACGAACTTCCCTGGAAAACATAGAGTATCAAAGGCTGAATCCTTCATGGCTATCATAATCATTTGGGCTTAGTTGCTACACCTAGTTTTATGTCCCTCCCATTAAATTCGTTTATAAAGAAGTAACTTTGGTTATCTAGTTTTTCTGCAAAGAAAATGTTTGCATGTATTGTATATTAAGACTGCATTACTTGAGTGCTCTTAAGTGGTTTTTTTATTTGTCTACTGTATGTCTTTAAAATTAAAACTTCTCAAAGTGGCTTTTGGAATAGGAAATTTAAGATTTTCTTAAAACCCTGCTGCAAGTGTAAAAGGTTTTGTTGTGTACTGAGAGAAATTGGTTTGGGCTTATATCCTCGACATATGGGATGGATTGAAAAATAAGCCAGAATGTAGAGAATTGCATTAGATAATTTATGCAAAGTCACTAGCATAACAGGCACATAGTAGGCATTCCATAAATAGTAGCTATAGGATTTAGATTCAGAAACCATGAACTTATAGAGTAGTTACAGACATGAATATGGATTGCATTACTCTTTTTTTGCATGAGCAAAAGAAGTGCAAGCATGTAAATCTGAGAAATCTTGACACTTCCGGGAGGATGGGAGGTGAGGATAGAATGAAACCTGGGAAGAGATGTTCAGGGACTTGGAAGGAGAACAAGAAAAGGCTGTGTCATGAGAAAAGGAAGGGGAGATCAGGTTGAAAAATTCCTCAGAACAGTCAACAAGGCTGATGACGACTGAGTGGCCCATGAGCAGGTTATTGGTGAACTTAGCAAGACTTGTGGGAAAAAGGGAAGGCTTTCCAAAATTCAGGTTGAGTTTCCTAGATTTTCTGTTTTTTTCTCAATCACATGGTAAGACTAAATGTAGGGGAGGCAGCCAGTTGGATTGAAGGGATGTGGGCTGTTCAGAGGGGAAGAATTTTTGTGCACCCCTTGCAGCTCCCCAGTAATAGGTGATAGATAATTGGTGACAGGCTCTTGGCAGCTCAGCTGCCACAATCAAGCTTTAGGAGTCATAAAACTCACTAATGAAAGGATCTCCTTGGGTAAATCATCACCAGCCAAGACAACATCATAAACCTGCTGACTTTGAGCCCCATCAAGGGCAGATGCACCATCTCATTCATCTATGTATCGAAAGACTATCACAGGATCCATCACAAGAGTGATGCTCAAAAGGACTTGAAAATTTTGAAGGGATTTAGTTTGAGTTGACATTAGAACCAGAATTGCAGTTTTGTAGCTTATTTAAAACAGAATAATTTTTTGCATTTAGGAATTTGTGAAGATTTAAAAATTCTGACTAAATTGATATCTTAATTCTTAGAAGTAGAGACCAGATTAAAGATGTTTTGTTGTATGCGAATACTTGGTTTGTTTATGTAAGCATTTAACTTCTTTATTATGAATACTGGCTTTTAGACTGGAGTAAGACAAGACTTCTGTAGGTAAAACATGGTATATGACAGGAATAGGAATTTTGAGTTAAAAAAAATCTTGCTTCATCCATGCAAAGTCTAAAAGTGGAAGTCAGACACATCCATTAGGATGGAGCTAGTCCACATTATGATTCTATTTAAATTTCGTGCTTATAGGAACATAGTATGGTCTTTGGAAAGAGTTTGAAGGTTCAAGTAGTCCAAATACCTTTGAATTTTTGAAATTTGTAGTTAAATACATGCTACAAAGTTATGCCTTCATAATAAATTGTCACACTCTTTTTCAGGGGAACTTCTGGTAGATTTATATTTGTACCAACAGCTGAACAATCTCGTTTTGCATCCTCATCAACACTTGGTGATGTTTTGTCCTCCTAATTTTAACCATTCTTAAGACTCTAGTGGTCACTCTCATTGGTGTTTTATCATATTTCTTCAATAACCAGCCAGCTTGAGCATTTTTTTGTGTTCTCATTTGCAGTCTGTAAGTATTTTGGGGGGAATTATATGCTCAAAAGTTCAGTGCATTTATTTTTATTAGACACTTAAGAGTAGGATTTTGAGAGTACATTTTATAGTTCTGAAATGAGTACAGTCAGATATATGATGTTAAGTATTTAAGTATTTTCATGTCATTTATGGTTTCTCTTTGCCTTTTCTTTTGAAGACCAGAGGAGTTAATTTTTAGTAAAGTTTTATTCATGAGCTTTTAGTTTTTATTCTATGTTTAATGCTTTCACTGTCTATGTTTACCATGCATCTGCTATACATCTAATGCTACACTTCAACAGAGGTGAGTTTATACTCATTGAAAGTCTTATTTGTGGATCTCAACAGCATTTTACTTGTAACTATACCAAACTGCATATAATCCACACACCTGTCTATGCAATAAGATGTATTTTACTCATCAGTAGAACAAAGTAACTATTAATATGTAACAGTATTAGTATATCTCAAAGTAATTATGCCAAATGAAAACAGACTGAACACACATATGACATGTACACTATATGAAGAAGGCATATTACTTTATTATGAAAGAACTCAGCTCAATGACTGCCTGGCCAAAGGGATGGAAGGGGATAGGAGAAATTTTAGAGCAATGCACATATTCATATACTCATTATTTTCATTGTAGTAATGCCTGCCAACATATTTTTGTGCTATAGCTTTTTATATTATACAGTTTAAATATATATCCTTTATTGTATACCAGTATGTACCTACAACTATAATAAGTAGCTGGCAGGAAAACACAGTCTCTGTTAATTATTTCTCAGAATCATCTAGCATAATGTAACACTTTTAAAAATAAATGATATATTTCTAGCCATCCACCTACAACCCTTCATAGTCATCAAAGCAGATTTAAGTCATTATTGATAAAAAAAGGATTACAAAATTCTCATGAGGAAGAGGATATAGCTGGATTGAAGAGTGCTTGCCTAGCATGCCTGAGTCCCTGTGTTAGATTCTAAGCAGAGGGAAAAAAGTCAGCCTTGTTAGGAAAATGATGTTTATGTTCACAGTAATGAATAAACACACACACACACACACACACACACACACACACACACACACACACACGAGTACAGAAGAATGACTTGCAATTTACTATTTAAACAAAAAGAAAAAAGTGTTTAATCAAAGATATATGAGTCCTTTGTAACTAATTTAATAGTGAGTAGAATGTAGTGCTATACATAAGGTTAGGAAAATTAATGAGAAAATGGAGCTATTTACTACAGAGAACTCAGTTTCAGAGAGAGAGTTTACTTAGTACTTGCTTAACAAAGGATGGCACAGAGGCAGAGTGGAGATGAATGAGAAATAGATCATTAAACATAAGAAGGTACTTGTGATAACCAAGGGAGATTAATAATGACAATGACAATGTCACTTGTGATAAATGTAAAAGCAATTCCACTCTTTCAAACCTCTTCCTAATTGCCCTTCCCGAGGCAGAACGCATAGATTTTGTTTTTGTAATTCTAGTCCATGACAGCGACCTCACTACTATGATGATAATTATAGTTACCAAAATAATCACTAAGATCTAGGAAGAACATAGGAAGAGAAGGCACCACAAAATGATGTTTTTGGTCTATAAGATTATTTGTGAAAAGTTTGCAAAAATTTATTACTACACTTCTGCTTAATAAATATACTCAGGAAATGACTCACTTGTAAGATACTATCTGCCAACTCAGCACTGTAGAAATAGAAATTACCAGTCAGTTTCCTAGAGCCTTCTGTATTAATTTTATGTAAATTGGAGGACATTATTAACTAACTTTAGGTTGAAAATGTGATATAAGTTGTCAATGAGGTATTATATCTAGTATTAAATAATTTTTTAAAGAAAAATATCTATTTATTATGCCCTTTAAAAAGTATTTCTTTATTTAATTTTTATGTGTATGAGTGTTTTGCCTGCCTGTGTATATGTGCACCACATGTGTATCCAATGCTTGCAGAGGACAGAAGCGGTGCTGGAACTCTTAGAACTAGAGTTACACAAGGTTGTGAGCCACCATGTGGGTGATGGGAACCAAGCCCAGGTCTTCTGCAAGAGCAAGTGCACTTAACTGCTGAGCCATCTCTACAGCCCTCAGCTTATTGTATCTTTTAATTAATGGTTTTTGTCTTGTTATAAACTAATAGATGATGAATTTAGAAACTTGGGAAAACACAACACATGTTTTATGGTTTTGGCCTCCAGTTCTACCATTTAGGTAAATCTGCATTAACATTTTCATGTTTTCCTTCTCATCCTGTTTCTTACTCATAATGTATAAGGATACTTACAAGTACATTATACATTATGTAAATACAATTATACTTATCCATATTTGTAGTTTTGTTCACTTTCTCGTGGAAATAAAATTTGCTTAAATTTTTTTGGAAAACAATTTTTGTCAGGAGCCTTAATATATACAGATTTGTTTGTTCATTAATTATTCATCTGAAAACCTAATGATGCACACAAATATTTATGTATGAGCTCATCATAGCATTCTATAAAAGCAATGAAAAATGAAACTAAGATGTAATGAGGCATTAAATGTTTTGTTTTTCTAAGAGTTTACCACAAAATTGTTAAAACTTTTGCTTTCAACCAATAGTACTCAGAGGGGACATTAGCACAAATATGTGCTAATATAATTAATATAATATAATATAGCAATATATAGTTTATTGCTATAATCATTAATACATACAAATAAAATTACATATAAAAATGTGGGAAATCCAATCTGTGTACTTCTGGGTATAGCTATGTTGACTCTTGGTCTGCTTTCAGAGTAAAAGTTATATGCAGTGTATCAATACAAGGTTTTGGGCTGTTACTATAATAAAGACTTGAGATAATCAATATTTAAAGAGAAAAGATTTAGTGACATTTTATAGCATTGTCAGTTGACACTTGTTTGGGGGCTTGTAAGGGAGCCCTACATTATGGCTATGGGTGTAGCTAAGCAAATCCACTTACCTTTTGTCTAGGGAGCAGGAGAAAGGATTAGGAACTGGCTGATGTCAACTGTTCCTTAAAGGTCACAGTTCTTTAAGGTGTCATAGCCTCCCAATAGTGCCAAACTGGGAATAAAACTTTAAAGATTCAAGCTAAGTACATAATTTCATAAAAGCATATGACTAATGTAGGAGCCCTGCTCTTCCATATACAGAAATTCAGTGTTAAGGAGATACAAGGTTCTAGCAGTGATTGGTCTACTGATCACTCTATCACAGAAACTTGTGAGTGACAGAAATGTAGATAATATTTATGTGGTGATATTGTGTTCCCCAATATATTGTGCACACTAATAAGCTTATCTGGGGTCAGAGAACAGAACAACCACTAGATATAGAGGCCAGAAAATGGTGGCACACACACCTTTAATCCTAGCATTTCGAAGGCAGAGATCCGTCTGGATCTCTGTGAGTTCAAAGCGACACTGGAAATAGCCAGGCATGGTGACATATGCCTTTAGTCCCAGGAAGTGATGGCAGGAAGCAGAAAGGTATATAAAGTGTGAAGACCAGAAACTCTAGCCTGGTTAAGCTTTTAGGCTTTTAGCAGCAGTTCAGCTGAGATCCATTTGGATGAAGACTCAGAGGCTTCCAGTTTGAGGAAACAGGATCGGCTGAGAAGTTGGCAAGGTGAGGTTAGCTGTGGCCTCTTCTGTCTCTCTGACTTTTCAGCATTCACCCCAATACCTGGGTCCGGGTTTGTTTTTATTAAGAAGACCTCCTAACAATGCGTGCTACATATTTATTTTTTTCTTTCTTCTGTTTTTATCTTCCAGACATTCTATGTGTTTCTTCCATAATCAGAATAATGGTGATTATTGTAGTGGTATTTGCTCTGCCCATGACCTTGGACTATATGGCTGAAGGAGGTGGGTATATCTTGCTGTTGTATGTAACCTCTTAAAAGGTAAGGGAGAAGGGTCACAAGTCCCTTCTCCCTGCTGCCTGCTTCCTGGTCTGATTGAAGTGCCAGGTGGATTCGCTCCTGGTCAGATCAGAGGAAAACTTCAGCTGTCTAGTCTGTTCTGCATTTGTGAGTGTATTTCCTCAATTTATCCTAATAATTTACCCTAGTACTCTTTAAGCAGACTCCTGTGGATTTATTGCATTATCTAGCACCCAATATTGGGTGAATCTCTCCCACCCTGTCCTGCAGCTGCTTAGTCCAACTAAACACACAAACTGTATGGCCTATGAGTCTTGTTTCTTGTTAGCTAGCTCTTATAACTTAACTCAACCCATTTCTATTAATCTATATGTTGTCACATGGCCATGGTGTTACCGGTTTGCAGCACCTTGTTGCTCCTTGGGCAGTGGGCTGGTGTCTCCCCCTACTCCACCCTTCTTCATCTTGTCTTCAGTTGGAATGCACTACCTAACCTTATCCTGCCCTGCCATAGGCCAATGCAGCTTTATTTATCAACCAATCAGAGTAACACATATTCACAGCATACAGAAAGACATCCCACAGCAGATTATTGAATGCATTGTAATTATTTTATAAATTCATTAACATGGATGAAAATGTGATTTTTATTGTAGTAAATCTTAACAAAAATATCCATAAATTGCTGTTTATTTTTACAGTTGTTTATAGTATTCTCATTTTAAATAGCATTTATTTATTTTTATAGTTTTTCACCCATAAAATCCAGTTTGTGCTATCCATATATACTTGGGTGTATGGCTTTCAACTGGAGGACAGTTGACTTACCATACGTTATACTCTTAGAGAAAATAGACTCTCATTCTTCTAGAAACTTTCATTTGCCAATAGCTCCTCAGTGAGGGATAGAGCTTTGTGCCCAACTCCTATTTCCACACTGGAAATTGGTTTGGCTTGAGATTGCACTAGTCTTGTGTATGCTGTCAGAACTGTGAGTTCCTGAGCTCTGTTGTGTCTGGAGAAAACTGCTAACTTGAATTTAACCAATTGCCTCTGCCTCTGCCTCTACCTCTGCCTCTCACAGTCTTTTGCTCTATTTTTTTTTTTTTGCAATGACCCTTGAACCTTAGGAGGAGGGGATGTGATATATATGTTTCATTTAGGCCTGAACATTCTGCTGTGTCTTCACTCTGCACTATGGAACCTGTAACAATCACCATCTATGGTAGAAGCTTCTCTACTAGGAGTTGAGAGATGCATTACTCTATAGACATAATGGTAAATCATCAAGAGTCAGTTTAATAGTATATTCATTCAGCAGAATAATGGTAGTAGATTCTCTTCTAGGGCCTATAACCTGTCTAGCCACAGGTTATTAGCTTGATAATGCCAGGCATGGGTTTAATCTTGTGGAGTGGGACTTAAGTTCAATCAGAAAGCATTTGGTTATTCCCAAGATGTTTGTGTCATTATTGCAACAATTGTCATGTTTTTCTAGGGTAGTCATTATTGTGTCTCATGGGGTTCATAGCTGGGTAGGATTAATTACTTTTCTCCTCTGTAGTGTTCTTAGTACTTTCCAGTGCTATGAAGCTAGTCAGTGGGGGGTGAAGCTTCTGAGTCACTACCAATTTGATATTCCATATTCTGTTACTCAAGTAAATGTTATTTTTAGTAATGGGCTCTTAACCATCCAATTCTGGAAGTTAACCAGTAGCATTGGCAATAGCCTGTAATGTACATGGATCTATGGGACCTCACAGACCAATAATTATAAAAAAGTAGCCCATTTATGGCACAGTGCTTTTTATTTGTTAATCTATGGTGTCTAGTAGGGACATTGTTGTTCCATTATAAGCTAACTCTGTTTTTAACAGTTTTTAAAACTCTGTATATGTGTACACACACACACACACACACACACACACACACACACACACACACACACACACACACATGCAGATATATAAACACACATATGGAAGTTTCTATGGTAGTATAGGTTTACATATGACATTTTTTTGAAAGGTCTTTAGTATTATTTACCCCTCCCAGTGTTCATTCCTCTACCCTATCCTTCCATCCAACTCCAATTTAACCCTTTCTGTTTCAATAATCCCCTTTAAGCCTTTATACCACTGGATCTCTCCTTTCTTTAAAGCCCCACCCCAATGGAACTTTACTAATTTCCTGACCTCAATAGGTATTCCAAATAAAACATGCATTTGAAAATTTTAATTGTGTCTATGTGTGTGTGCATGCACACACACACACGTGCATGTTTGTCTGTAAGAATGTATGCATGTCCTCAGAGGCTAGAGGCATCACATTCCTTTGGAGCTGGAGTCACAGCTGGTTGTGAGCTGCCAAATGTGGATTCTGGGAATAGAACTTGGTTACTCTGCAAGAGCAGCACACAACCACTGAGCCATCCATCTCTCTAGCCCCCATAATCGTTGTCATCTTAATAGTTAATCTTGTTATTGCCATTGTAATATTGTAATTTATATAATGTAGATAGAACTTGTCTTAGGTCGTTTAGGTCATTTCATTCCTCTTTTTTTTTTTGGTTTTTGGTCTTCTCCCTCAAGTTCTGATTTCTAACCACCAGTTGGCCAGTTAAGAAATATGTTTTATTTTAGCATAGATTTCATGGAAAATGTTTAGATCTATTTTTCTTTAAATAAAGTAAGCATTTTGGTCAAATTTGAGTGAAAGGCTGTTGAAGAAAGAGATTATATATGTGCCCCCTGAAGAAAAGTCAGCTCCAGTGGGTTTTCCTTGACTTGGAAATGCTGGTTAAGCTTCTCAAGGAAATACTATTCTGGTATAGTTTCTGTGTTTGTTCCAATAGATGTGGCTAACAGAATTGCTAGCAAGGACAACTACATTTGGAAAGGTCACAGCAGTAAATAAAACTTACAGTTTTCTCCAAATAGTTTAATGATTTTTGTTCTTATACATCTGAAGAACTTAGTACTATTTTATTGAGGTGTTTTCAAATGTTTCATGAGTTCATGTTGCAAGTTATGTGAAAAAAGAGCTACTGTTAAATTATGTTCATTCTAATAAAAAACAAACTGTCCTGGAAAAGGTAGCCTTAAATCTTCAAAGGATATCAGTTGTTTAATCTTTTCTAATGAGTTTGTTGACCCTGGTTGCCAGTGTTAAAATACAACAGAAAATGTAAATTAACAAGTTTCAATTATAGAAAAACTGTAATAATGTCTTCTTTTATGGGTTCTCATTTTTATAATTGTAGTATACAAACTTAGAAATATGCTTAATGCTTGACTCCTATAACCTTGGGATTAATGGTAAGAAAACGATCAAAGAAACTTACTGGTTTTAAATACCTATTCTTCATCAGCCAAAATCTCCATGTTGACTGGTTTTGTCACTATTTGGTGGAACATATAGTTGGCAAATGTGTGTGTGTGTATGTGTGTGTGTGTGTTTGTGTGTTTGTGTGTGTGTGTGTGTGTGTGTGTGTGTGTGTGTGTGTGTGTGTGTGTATGAGAGAGAGAGAGAGAGAGAGAGAGAGAGAGAGAGAGAGAGAGAGAGAGAGAGAGAGAGAGAGAGAGATTGAAAATCATGCAATAGAGCAATAAACTAAGAGCATGGATAATCCACACCATCACGCTACCTCTCTACAAATCCTGTCAAATCCTGTGCTGTCTTCTCCATAGTTACTACTAGGTATACAAATAAGCTTCTTTTCTATTTAAATTGCCAATACAAGGTCTGAATTCCTAGAATTAAAATAAATCTTTTTGACACATGTGTCTTTAGTAAAGTACCCTCTCTTTATATTATAATCATACTTTCCACAGGTATTTATATCTCTAGGAACCTATAAAAATACTATATCTGCAAATTATATTTTATCACATTATATTTATTCTAAGCAGAGGAGTAATGATATTATGACTGAGTATAAGCCAGAGGTCTGAAGATATTGAAAGTATTGATTTTTTATGGTATATTCTAAGATGAAGGCATTAGGAGACATACCCTTATCAGTTTGAATATTAATCAATAATTATCATTTAGCCATTCCGATATAGTGCTGTAGTAACTACATTGGATTTGTCACCTAGTTTTTGATGTTTAGAAAGATGGGTGCTAGGATACAACTTTTTCAGGAATATCCTGAATGTGCATTAGTTCTCAAATATTTAATTACCACATTCTGTTTGCATGAATTTTTCTGATGTTTTCATTCATACATATATGACTAAATACATATATCAAGACATCTGAACATTGCCTAAAAGACCACAATTTTAGTTTTTAAATTATTTCCAAATTGTGTATGAATCAGCATATTTTTTATTTTGAGGTTTATTCATCCCCAAATGGATGCTGTATCAGAATAACTGCATAAAAATGATCTATTTTCAAATAATCTTGAGTGCTGGGGACATAGATCAGTGGTAGTTTTGAGTCCAATATGTAGCGTGGCAAGAAGAAATGAAATAAATTACTAAATAAATAGATACATAAATAAGTCTTGGGAAAATATTCTTCTTTGTATCCAACAACATGATGATCCTATGTCTCTTTCCCTGCCAGTGTCCTGGCTAATGTGGCCTAACAAATATCCATGTTTCAGGTACATATTTTTTTCCTATAACTAACCCATCTGATGGGCACTCTAACAGTTAGAGATTAAAATAGCTGAACTGTGGTTGGTCTGTATGGATTGTTGTAACCCAAGCTGGGACCCAGGAAACTCTGCTTTCTAAAAAACATGCTGTTTGCCTCTGGAATCACAGTCTCTGAAGCCTGGGGAATCTTAAACATCTAGTGGTCAATTTTCTCACCATACAGTGAGCTTACTGAATGTGAAGCCAGGGAAAAGGAAAGGGGAAACAAGATAATGAGAGAGAGCAGTTATAGAAGCATTTGACAGGCTGGATCTATATCTACTTCTGGATGTTCAGGTACATGGAGAAAGGCATTTCTATATTACTTCAGAGGCTTCAGCTGACTGTCACGTGCTATGGACAGAGTTATGATTAGTAAAGATGCTTTCTTACCATGGAGAAATTATTAGATAACTGATATAAGAAGTGAAGTGGAAGAAGATGGGAAATACCACTTGTCTCCACCTGCTGATTATTTTACAGTTGAGTATTCTGAGATCCTGGTCTCTGACTCTTGGGATGCAGTTATATCTTTTAGGCACTGTACAAATGAGCAATCACACCACAATGCTGTAGGGCCAAGGTTTGAATGGAAGAAAATGTTTTGATTCTGTTTGTCCAAACAATCTGAAGACTATTCCACAATGGTGGACTAAGTGGCCTTTTTACCACTGCTATGCCAAGGAAGGACTCTTGTGAATATTAGCTGTTTTCGCTGAACTAGTATTTCTTCTCATTTCCTGCTAAAATACCTCATCTCTTCTCCTCTCCACTGATTTAGATTGAGAAGCCAATTAAATATGCCATTTCTTTACCTAGGAATACAAAAATGTGTCAGGCTTGACTTATCTTAATATCTCATTGCTCCAGGCTCAGAAATTCACTCAAGGTTGGACACTTTAACTAAATTGGACTGAAAACAGACTTACTGTGGTATTTTTTCTTTTAAAAAATAATTGTAATTGATAAGAAAATTGTACAAATTGATGAGGCAGCATATTTTTATTTGTATATAGATCGTATAATGATTAAATCAATTTTGATGTAGGATAAGATACTATACTGAAGTTACAGAATGTGATCAACATTATTTTGAAAACACACTTCCATCTTCCTGTCTTTTCTGTTAACTTATTACCACCACGTGGAGAAAGCCTTTCTACATGAGAATGAAGATAGTATTCTGGAAATGGCAGAGCAGAGAGGTGGAGAAGAAAAGTATGATGTCATTACCAGAGCCAACAATGTCAGCAAACCATGTACTTCATCACGAGAGCTAATGTATGTATGTTTTAAAAGTTATTGTCTCTGCAGTTTCTGTCTTCTCTAGCAAAATACATTTGGGAGTTTTGTAGTAAATCAATTATGTTTTGGACCATAACAAACAGCAGGGCGTGAGTTTGAGTGTAGTCATGTGTGAATACACATTTTTGCACTTGTGAACCTAGGAAAGGCTGAATATCTCTGAGAAATGTTAGCAAGAACAGGAAGGTTAATCTTTCTAAACTATATTGTAAATTGTCTCATGGGCACTCGTTAACTTATAGCTTAATAGCTTAACAATGTTGCAGTCTCTCTAAGTCTTCTCTGACTTGAACCCCAAGGGAGAAAAAGTTTTGAAAGTGCTATAGATTTTTTTGACAAGATAATGGTAGCTAAACAAGACAGAATATTTGCACAGTGCTGTGAAGTTTCTAATGTTTCCTTTGATGGTTAATTTTAAGGTCAGAGGCTTTGGTTATATTTTAATGAATAGTAGAAATGATGTTATAATTGCAGTGAAAGTGTGGTACATGAGAGAAATAAAATGCTAATAATGCTGATGCCATTTAAAAACTGACTTATAGTGGAAATTTGCGTGTTTCAAAAACTGAATGTAATTAAAAAGTTAAGCAATGAAATAAAATAATGAAATGGAGGAATCTAATCAAACTCTCTCATAAGATGCTCTATGTACAGATGTTCCCGGCATCATGAGATTGATTACATCATGATTTTGGAATGTTGCTTTGTCAAGCACAGTTTACAACCAAGGAGAGAAGAGTCTTGAGCCCTATCTTCTCTCTCCAGCTCTTGCATTAGCAGATGAAAGGAAGTTCTGTTCTTCATTCCCTGACCTTGACCTCTGAACTCAAAACATGAAATTACACCCCTTTCCTTTCTGCTGTGGTTTCTGCCAGGTTATGTGGTCCTGCTCGAGAGATGATCCTGGGAGTTCATTGTGCACTCTCTGTTTATTGACTCTACGCTGAAACCCTCTCTCCTTGTGCCTATTTTTTCAGTAATAAATTTGGATCCTTAGTCTTTATCTATTTTGTGCATGTGACTGAGTTAACACCTTGCTGAAAAGGGAGACTACAAGGGAAATGACGAGAACAAAGAGAGAGAGGGTAAAGAGATGGTCATGCCACCATTTCTGTATTGTTTATTTATGTATCATTTATTTATTTATTTTACAATGTTATGGCAAGTCTAATAGTATGAAGTTTATCCTGACAGTAATAACTGTTTGCATGTGTCCATGGTGGTGAGTGATTTTTTTGAGTTCCTTCCTTATTAGAGCAGTAGCTCATCTTCTTCATGGAAGGTGGAGGAGATTCGACCTTGATGGGCATCTGTTTCTCAAGCTTTTAGTTTTCCTGTGTTTGGATTCCTGTTAGGTTGAAGTGTATATTAGCATTCTGCTGCTACATAGCACACTACTGAAAATCTAGCTACTCAACACATTCTTATTTCTGTTTCCCAGAGCTGGGATTCAGGCATTGTTTGCTTGGATCTTCTCTTCTGGATATCAGGGGCCTTCAAACAGGGATCAGCAGGACTGTGTTCTAATCTGGAAGCTTGCTTAGGGGAGAGCCATTTTACAAGCTCATTTAGGCTTTTGGCAGAATCTATTTCTTATGGTTATGTGACTCAGGGCCCAATTATTTTGCACAACAGTGTCTAGAGGCCACAAGCAGTTCTCTGCTTTGCAGTGCTTCCATGGACTGCCTACAGTGACTGTCTGCTTCTTCCTTAAGGCCACCAGGTAGGTTTCTTGCTACAGTCTACTTAGGCGAAGTGACCAGTCAAAGGCTCTTTTACCAAATGGACACTTCTTTACACTGTTATTTGTTGAATTGCAGATATAATTTTGTCTTATCACTAGAACCCAATTGACACAAGTTTCATTGTTGACATGTCCCCAGTGCCATTTACTAATTTTGTAGATTCTCTCATAGAAGTAAGACAATCCTATTACCAAGGTCCAAAGTCCCCAAGTTTGTCTTCCAAGGTAAAAGCTTATGCATGGAGTCAACATTGCAGGAAAATTCAGGCACAACATGCTCATTCCTGACCCTTACTTGGTGTCATGTCACATGGAGCTAACACCTGATAACTGAGCTGATCTGGTGCAGGACTCCATTTCTTCTTCTTCCCAGAGGGCAAGCAGGACCAAGTCAGCTGTGAGTTCTGTAGGGCACATGCCCTTACAGTGTGATAAATTAGATAGCTGTTAGACCAAATGCTTCTTGACTTTCCAAATGAGAACATTAGGATGGCCCTTTAACATATTTATTTGCCTTGCTGAGAAGGTAGTCAAGGTCTGCTGGATTTGTGATGTGCTAAATGAATGTGTAGCTGAGGTGCTCAGGTGGTTTTATTGGTAAGGTTAGCTACAAAAATGAAGGTGTGAGGTTGCTGGAGGACAACATGACAACCGTTAAATTAAAAACCTATTAAATTTTCCAAGTGGTGGAAAAGGACTTCTCAAAAGCAAAGACAGAATGAAACATACCCCAACAGTGAAGTAACTTGAGACTCAGCTTAAGCAACTTTTCTTCCTATTGAAGAGATTTCTTTTCACACTATTTCTGGATGTTGTTTTGCAGCAATTGCAAACAGCTTGTAGATGCTGATGAAAATAAAACAAAGATGAGGGAAGGGAAATAACTAGGCTATTTCAGATACCAGGCGCTGATATCATCATTTCTTTTCTTGCGTTTTTTACTTGCTTTGGTTTTGTCAGAATGGTACATACCAATCTTGCTTTGCAGTTCCTTTTTATAATTACCATACTGACTTTCAAAAGTAAAGTCTTATGAGGTTAATTAAAAAAATGAATCAGTCAAAATACATCAAAAGAGGCCTATGAGACTGTTCAAATGTACTCTGTTTCTGAGGAAAATCCATTTTTTAAGATGATAAAGTGATTTGAAGCCATATTCAATAACACGACTTAATTTACTCTTACATACTAATCATTTTGGACCATGGGCAAAGCATTCTGAAGTACTAGTGTGAGTACGGGTCTGATCTTGAATTATGAATCTTCAGTTCTGAGAAGCAAAAACTCAACTGCTTTAAGCTTTGCAAATTAAGGTCTCTTCTGTTGTAAAAAATATTTCCAGCTATTGCTGGATTTTGTAGAGGTGTGCTGCATTGATATAACTTACAAGTGTGTTTCTTTCTCTTATTTGTTTTCTACCCTCATGCTATTTTTAATTGAAATGAAACCCTGAACAAATTAAGAAAATACCTTGACTCAAAGGGAATCTCTCTCATACTAGAATCCATATGGCATGAATTGACTCAACAAGTAAAGAAATTTGAAAGGCCTCTGGGAAGTTAGGCTTCTGCAATTTCTACAAAAATAGATCGACAAACTCTTCCTCAGCTATTTGTCCAACACCAGTTGACTGAGTGTCTTTTTAGTTGTCGGCTTAAATAGGAATTTCTAGTGCCAGTCAATCAGTTCAAAGTACACATTCATTTTGTAGCAAAAACTCTTCCATATGTTGAGGAGTATGCAAATTAGGCCAAGATACAGTCATTCCCCTGGAGGAGCCCCTGTTTTCATTATATGCCTCTTCTAATGGTTGATGTTTGAAATGTGCTAGACAAGAAAAATAAAAACAAATCTTTCTCCCAAGATTTACATGTGTACAATGGCAGCATCTATGTAAATGTCTACTGGACTTGTGGGACTGATCACAAAGTTGACAGAAACCAGATCACTGAGATATTAGATGTCTATCATAGGACGAGAAAAAATTATGAGCTGGGATTGTGTATTCAAATGAGTGGTTGTTTGGTACTTCTCTCAGTCAGTGCCCTACTGCTGTGAAGAGATACCATGGACATAGAAACTCACTAAAAAAATAGTATTTAATGGGAGTTTGCTTACAGTCCACTGTTGTCATGGAGGGAAGCATGACAGCACATGTACAGACATGGTGCTGGAGAAGTAGCTAAGTGTTCTACATCTGGGTCTGCAGTCAGCAGGAAGAGAGAGAGACACTGGATCTAGCTGGAGTTTTTGAAGCCTTAAAGCCACCTCCCCTCCCAGTGACACACTGCCTCCAACAAATCTACAACTACTCCATCAAGGTTCTGTCTCCTAATTTCTCTTAAGTAGTGCCATTCCTTGATGACTAAGCATTCAAATATATGAGCCAATGAGTGCCATTCTTATTCAAACTACCACATTCTACTCCCTGATTCCTATAGGCCTGTAGGACTACATTACAATACCATAATGTAAAAAATGCATTCAGTCCAACTTCAAAAGTCCACATAGTCTACTACAGTTCAAAGTTCAAAGTCTCTTCTGAGACTCAAGGCAATCTCTAAACTGTAACCCCCTGTAAAATCAAAATAAAAAAAATCAGATCATATACTTACAACATATAATAGCACAGAATATACATTATCATTCCAAAAGGGAGGAAAGGGAGCATAGTGTGGAAATACTAGACCAAAGCAAGAGCTAAAACCAGCAGGGCAAATTCTAAACTGTACATTTCTGTGACTGATGTCAAAATTCTCTTCAGAACTCCAACTGCTTCCAGGTTTGTTGCCTACAACACACTTCTCTCTCTTGGGCTGCTTCCACCTCTGGTCTGCAGCTTTTCTGAGAAGGTGTACCATAACTTTGTTGTCTCCAACATCTTGTGGTCTCCAACACAATACAGGCCTTGCGTTTGTAGATTGACACAATGGACTCTCTGGGTGTCCATGCAGGGACACCCGTGACACATACCTGACATCAGCAGCTTTCCTTAGTCTCAAAGGGAGATTCTGCACCCCCCCCCCTTTTTTTTATCCTTGACTCTAAAGCCAAAACTACATGGCCTAAGCTGCCAAGTTCTGCTGTTCGATAGGGTTGGAACTTGGCCCCCTAATTCAATTACATCTGCATCTGTTTTCTGCTGTTGATGGTTTCCATTAATGCCTAAGCTTTTCTTTAATTCCTTTTTACAACTTGGAAGCTTAGTTGGGTGTGGTCTTACCCTGACATC